AGAAAAACCATATTCCATTTTAGTATTTAATCTTATAGCATATTTAATGAATCAAGCTTTTGCAATAAAAATACTTCATACAAAAGTAATATGTTTCATTAGGATAAAGGAAACATACATTCTTATCTTGAATCCCATTATTTCACATGATTTATACCACAGATAATTTCAATGAATGAGATTCCTGACATCCGAATATTTGCCTACATGCTTGTAGGAAGTTTCTGTAGTCTTTTCTTGCTAGGAATTCCAGTTCTTCGGAAATCTTCCCTTTCTTTCAGGTATTCCATTTTACATTCTTCATAAAATGCTGGATCATTATAGCTACAAGGAAAACATGAAAATATTTTAAAAGCGAAAGACTTCTACAAGCAGTCAATGTAAACTAATATTCAGGCATGTAATCTCTGGACAAGTGTATGATTCACAAAGACATGTAGTGGGGGAGAAGCAAAATGAAACTGAGTTGAGTCTGGGACCTCAGAAGCAAAGAAATACCATGATCTATAGTAATTTAATCCATGATACAAACTACGCATTCTCAGGTTTAAGAACAAGGGCAATCCAGGGAAATATCAGCAAAAGCAGGTTAAGGAAGGTTAAGGAAGAAAAGGTTCAGAAGCACAGAAATGCATGAGAAACTGGAAATCATTATTAGAGAAATTAGCAAAACATTAAAGAAGAGATGGGCAGAGGGGGGTGAAGTATAAGAAAGGCCCATTTGTTGGGTTTGGCTATAAGAACAGTAATTTCACAAATCAGATCATAGTATATTCAAGAATGAAAGGTGAAAAAAGTATACGACTCTAACCATTAATTTTCAAGATGTCACTAAAGAGAAGAGTGATTATATTCATGTTGTGGAATGTCACTAATTAACGAAGGACAGCATTTACTTAAAGAGGAAATAGACACTTACAGAAGTGATGCTGAACCTTTTAGAGACTGACTGTCCAAACTGAAACCTAAACCCACTTATCGCAAAGTGCCAAAATGCAATTAAACCCAAACAGTGTAGTTTTAGTTTAGAAAAAACAATTCATATATTAACATCTTTTGTCTTAAAAGAAAAACAAGTAACATAGGTGCTATAGGTTTGCCACCACTATCTGAGGGTATTCTAGAACCTAATGTCTAGTAAAATTTTCTTTTGTTTTTAGCAAATTTCCATTTGTTTTTAGCAAATATCATAACTTTTGTTGCTTCACTGATTTTTCTCTTCCAAACCAAAAGCAGCAGCTTGCCCTGGCTTCCCTGGCCCTCATCAAGATATACTAGAACGTTTTGTTTCCTCATATGGTTAGTCAAATGATTAATGTTCAGATAAAAATATAAAAACATAGATGTTACAAATACTTTTTTTTCAAAAAAAGACTGAGTACCTACTTTGTGCTAGGAACCATGATAAAAATGTTAATATAGCATAATATAACACAATCACTCCAGGTAGAATTATCCTGTCTCACAGTGAGAAACTACCCTGTCCCACTGGTAGCTTAAATGCCTCTGAGCCAAGTGCCCCCTCTGTAGTCTGTGCTCCTGCCAACTCTGCTCTAGAGCTGCCCTATTTGCCAGGAAGGACAATGTGTCAAACAGAAAAACTAACATTATGACTGAATCAGAAGTGAAAAATCCTTCATCAACATAAAATTTAAATAAACTGATTATTCAATAAACACCTAGAAATGGAAGAAAGTTTTACTGTAGAATAAACTCATTCCTACAATAAACTGCTTAGATATCCTTCCTGGTCCATAGATAAGAACTGCTGTTAATAACTTGTGGAAAAACACTGTTACCTCTAAATGGAGACGTGTTTACGTAATCTCAGAAGTCCTTTCCAATTTCAGCATTTAAAAACATGTACATTTTTAAAATATAACATCCTTTGTTATTATACATAAGCAACTCAGAACATTATTTAGTCCACTAAATATATATGACATATGGCTCACAGGCTAGAGGAACGTATATGAAGAAAAGCAGAGCTTGTCAAAGATTTTAGTTCTCAACCTAATATATTTATTAAAATATTCTGCAACATTATTTGTCAGTAACATGGATAATAAAATGTAAGGAGATAAAAAGCACTTGCATTCAAAGAACTTTGCACATTTCCCTTAATAATTTGAGGAACATCTGCCAGAGTGAAGTGTCACAGTATGCTTTCTGATCTACACGACAGACTGGTGGACCCTCTTGGAGGCGTGCTGGGTGGATCACAGAGGTGTGGCCTTCGGCTCTACCTCTGGTCCCTCACTCCTTCTCTTGCACTCTTTCCCTGCCATTTGGCCGACAGGACCCAAGCATTTTTGCTCTGCCACACCGCCCCATCAGGCTGTTTCTGCCTTGGAGCAAACCAACTAAAACCTGCATGTCTTAAAAGCCTCAGCCAAACCAAACCTCTCCTCTGCATTATAGATACTGGTTATTTTGTCTAGCATTGGGAAAGCTGACTAAGGCAGAAAATGTTCCGAGAATTGAGGCCATTCTTTTTTTTTTTAATTATTTTGTGTGTGTGTGTGTGTGTGTGTGGCCAGCTCAGCCCAACAGGGGGCGGGGCTGGCTGGCATGTGGTGCTGGGGGATTGAACTGCGGTCCCTGTACTTTGCTAAGCTTGTTCTAAGTAGGTGCTTTAGACCACTGAGCCATCTGACCAGCCCGAATTGAGGCCATTCTATGACTATGCTTGACCAAGTGATTTAAAAGCCTTCGGAACTGCTTTACAGCACTTTGGAAAGGTTTGAAATAAAGGCAAAAGAAGCCCGAGAATTCTATAAAGGGAGCACAAATGCTGATAGGAATACAGACAGAAAAGGCCAGGTTCAGGTTTCAGCTGGGAATAAGAACTCCACTGGTAATTGGACTAGAGTTTATGTGTGCTACACTCTGGCCAAAAAAAGGTCTACAATGTACCCATACCTTGAGAATGCAAATGACTGAAATTAAGGATAATTAATCTGGTAGAATAAATTTCAAGATAGCCTAGCATTCAGCATTTGGCATGTGTACTGCTGCCTGCTTCTAGCCAGATATATAGTACTAATTGGGCAAAAGGCAAAGCAGGAAAATTTGAAAGGTTTAAATGTTGGCCAGAAGAAACCATGTGTAAAGTATAAACCTAAAGAGATACAGCTGCCTAAGAGATCAGTACCATTAATAAGGATCCAAACACTGTACAGAGACAAGAAAGACGCCTTGATGGCATCTCAGGAATCAGCAAGAACCAATCCTTAAAGGAGACGAGGCTCTGAGCCTCCTGCTAAAGAAGGGTCACCTAGGAAAATGCTTCTCCACGATTCAGTTCACTGCTCAGACATCCAAGCATGTATGAGCCTGCGGTTGCAGCCAGTCTACTTCTGGAGCTGGCAGCAGACTTTCACATCATTGACATAATGTTGGTTTTTTTGGCATATAAAATGCAGAGAGTTATGAGGTCAGAAAGGTTTCCACATTTTAAATGAAGGCCTGGAAGTCTAGGCCCTAAGAAGGTCATGTATGAAGCAGTGGGAATGAATTCAGAGCTGCAATGGAGAGCCCAGGATGTTGAGAGGCCAAGGATGTGAAGCATCTGCCAAAGAAAGCCACAGGCTATGAGTGGAGCCAGTCCAAGCGACAAGCCGTGTGAGCTGCAGCCAGCCAGGCCATAGGTGTAGGGATGCCCAAGCCCACTGGAACTCACATCTTGCAACTGTGTTCCCTGGACGCTGGATTTGGAGCTGCAAATATTAATGTTTACCCTGCTGTATTTTGTCTTACTCTTTTTCTATGTTGGTCTTATTCTTTTCTACACTCCCCCCTTCTTCCCTTGGAAAGGAAATGTGTATATCCTGTGCCACTGTACCCTGGGATCATGTAATTTGCTTTTAATTTCCACAGACTTTTACAGCTAAGTTTGCTTTGGATCTCAGAAGAGACTTTAACCTGAATTTCTGAAACAGACATAAACTACTAAACTTTGGGGAATGACTTAAATTTTTGGCTGTACACAGAATGGTTGTGTTTATACTAAGTTAGGTCAAAGTATAAACTTGCTGTTGTCTTTAATGAGAGATTAAATATGTATGGTTTGGGATATGAAATGGAGGAGTGGGACAAGGTGGTTAGAGTAATGTCCACCTGAATGACTTGGGAATGCACTTGAGCACAATTCTAGGTCTGTCTGAGAGGCCATGGAGATGTGACCTTGGGGCCCATGTCTAGTCCCTGATCCCTCACTCCCTCCTCTCTGGCTCTTTCCTTGCTCTATTTTCTGGCCACTACAAACTAAGCATCTCTGCCCTGCTATACCTTTCCACCATGATATTTCTGTTTTGAAACTAGCCAACCACAGCCGCTTAAAGTGTGGGCCATATTAAACTGCTCTTCCTTTTGGTTGTGGGTGTGAGGTACTTCGTCCAGCAGAGCAAAGCTGTGAAGTCAGTGTGAGGCTATTAATACAGAGCCATCATGAAACATTACTGAACATGATATTAAAATATTTTAAAAATTTAACTTCAAAAATCTAAATTTACTTTTGTATCTCATGTAATTTATTGTAACTTGCAAATAATGCAACAAATTGAAAGAGTGAAAAAGATTTGAGAGTCTAATTCAGTTTCTTTCCATTAGAAAAAATGAAAATCAGAATACAATGTATTCTATAAATCAGTTCATTTCCAAAAACAGTTAAATCATGAAAAAAAACTATGTTTTTGTTTGCTGACTTCATAGTTTTATTCAGATACACTGCTGACAAACATGGATTTATGAAAAAAATCCTTTCATTAAATATGTTGGGTTCTTTTATAATAATCTTTAACATAGTGAAAATTTGAACTTAGACAATGAGAAATTTGGTTGGAGAAGGTATTAAATATATAATGTGTAATGTGTTAAATAACTTCTATTAAAATACACACACACACACACACACACACACACACACACACACAAATAACTACTTACTAAGCAGTTAAGCATTCTTTCAATGCAGAATTTTCTTTCCGACACTTTACTACCATTAGGATTCCAGAGTCTTTGCAACATTTGGTAAAATCTGAAACAAATTTGAGGAAAAAAAAAAAACTGATGAATACATCAGTATCGTTTTCAGTAGCCCTAAAACATTCATTTAACATCTGTTGCCTACGATGTGCAGACACATAGTACATGCTCAATAGAAGATATGTACCCAAGTAAAAGAATGAGTAAAATTCACTTTGTAAAAATACGATCTGACAGAAAAAAAGAAGGTACTTTTGAAACAAAGGATAGGAGCGTTAGGAAGCTTCCTGGAAACATTATAAAGATCAACTAGCACATCTAATAAGAAAAGAGTAATTCTAGGGAAAATATATAAGAAACGTCAGAGGAGAGGTGTTTCCAGACCCTGATACTCAGTTTTCAGCCTTAGTGTATCTAAGCAATACATGACAGAGATAAAGGAGCCAGCTGACATTGTCAAAACGCCTCCTTTCTTTCAGGTAAGACTATAATGATACCTTAGTATCTAGTAAAAGAACTCTATTTTGTTTCTTGAGTCAGCTCTGATGCCCCACAGATTTCAAGTGGTTTTCTGTTAAATTTCTGCATTAGCAGCTTACCCTTTAAATTGCACTGGCCTCTTTGGTATCTGCCTTTTCAGGACCAGCAACCCAGAAATGCCTGGAACCATATTCTACTCATAGCTGAGCCACTTGCTGTCTTGGGTTTGCTTCTGGTCTGATTCAGTCCTAACATCTTTCCACGGGACAAGGTTCTCTGCTCTTTACTTTTTGCAACTATCCTCCTGAACTATCCTGGTCCTATTCTGACCACTGGCTACTCTAGTTCCAGGTTTTGCCAACCTCTAATCTGCTCTAAGATAACCAGCCATTTCAATTTCAAATCTTAAACCAGGACATTATCTTCCTACAGAAGCTGTAGGCACAAGTATTTCCTCAGTATCATTTTAAAAAATTTTATTTTAAAGGAAAACAAAAAACCCAAAATTCCAAAACAAAATGATAGGACAGTAACAGTGATCAACACATTATGTACTGTTATTTTCAAATAAGTTACTCAGAGGACAAGATGTCAGCATGTAATTGTACAGAAAATATTAGCACAAACTTATCCCTTTCGACAACCTGAAGAAATCAACAGCATACCTATCTTAACTATCTTTTATATAAACATATATTTTTTCCCTTCCTTTTTCTCATTCCCCTAAACCAGTTTCTTTTTTCTTTTGAAGTTTCTTCCCATTTTACAATATTGTACATTTTGGGTCACATTTTCTCTTTCAGCTTCTCACACTAGGGAGATGGGATATTTACACCTTTGTATCTGGCTTATATTACTTAGTACCGTTTCAAGTTGCATCCATTTACCTATTTTATAACTGCCTTTAATCAAAATTCTTAAAATTTCCCTTTCCTTACCTTCCAGTCACAGAGAAATACAAATTATTTATAATTATAGTACGCAGGTAAATTCAGGAATTTTCATAAAGCTACATAACTATGATGTATAACAAAAAATATTTTTAAACAATAAGCAACCAAAAGTACAAAGATTTCTTAAATGTGTAAAAAATCCTTAGAGGGACTTTGCCAGGACAAGAGACCCTGTAACACAATGTTTATATCCACCAAAACATCAAGGCTAGTCCTAAAAAGCCAAATAGGAAAAACAGGAACACAAGGACAAAAGATACATGAAAGTGTTTTAATTCAAGTAAACTAGCTGAAAACTACTTTAAGAAAATCACCACATTCAATAGTGATGAACAATGAACTCAAGTCTCCCACAGCACCTTCAACTCATTACACCTACACCAAGCCAGTTCACTCAAAAAATGTCTAAAATGATCACTGGCGTCCCAGAATTTGCCTACTGAAAATGTGCTGTTGACCAAAATCCAGCCCTTTTCTGGGAAACAAAAACATGAAGGTGACTAACAAGTTCGCTTTCCAAATATTTTACTGATTTGAGAAATTCATAACAAAAGGCTTATACATTATATTAAGTTGTGTTTTCCCTATTATGAAATAAAGTATCTTTGGTAGGAAACTGATGGAAGACAGCATTTTTATGTTCTTACCACACTAAAGGCACAGTCTACGCATTTTCACATTTCAAGAGTAATGGTGGCTGGTCTGAAGCCTTAGGTTTTGTCACTTGTTTAGCAACAAATTTTAATAAGGATATTTTTTTCATTCTACAGTAGCATATATTCGTGACTTACTAATACTGCCCACCATTTTATAAAATTGTACTCTCAAACAAATTTTACAATAAGTTGCTTCCATTTTTCATCTTTATAGTAAATGTTAAGTCTGTATATCTGATCCAATAGCTTAATTTTAATTACCATTATTATGACATTAAAATTTTATGCTATTAAATAAAAGAAATATTTAAGTATTATGTAATTACTATCAACACTGGGCGTAACAATATGAAGAGATTGTTATTATTCTAATGCTGTACACGCAGGGCCACAGAGATAGCTCAGTGGCATAAGCACCTGCCTGCAAGCACAAGGTCCTGACTTTGATCCCTGGTACAAAAAAAAAAGTACACTCAAAACATTTTTTCTTTAAAATATCAGTACTATAAACCTGCATAGTTTTTAACACTTCATTTCTCTAAGGAAGTTTTTTGTTGTTGTTGTTGTTTTGGTACAGGGGTGCAAACTCAGGACCTTGCGCTTGCCAGGCAAGAGCTTATGCCGCTGAGCTATCTCCCTAACCCATTAAAAGAAACAATTTCATATCATATAATTAAGTATTGGAGATAATGTAAGTTATAATAACATTTGTATCAAGAACATCTCAGTTAAACAGAAACTTTAAGTAAACGGACAAAATAACCATCCATATTGTAACGAAGTACAAGCAGTCTATATAATGTAGTTTACTATGATATAAAATAATTTTTTGAGATTTTCCACATAAATCAGTAACAGAAATAATGTATTGAAATTATTTCTTAGCTTATTAAATTTACAGAATTTTTAAGTATATTTTAAAATTTAATAATTCCTACAAATAAGCTTCCTTAATTAAAGTTAGGGTTAAGCCCTTATGGAGCAGTTTCTTGTAAGGAATTAGAAATACCAGGGAGGGGAAAAAAAAAAAGAAACATTAGACATTTGAACTTTCATGTTTTTCACTCTACTGAGCCCCACACAGCACACTTTTCAAACACTGTTATCTAATTAGATTTAAAGCACTCACATAGATGACAATTTAGAAGATGTGAAATTAAAATAAATATCATTATTTCATATCTTTTATTTGAATCACTTTTATCTCCATTAATTTATGATTTTAAAATTAATTTTTTCACCACTATCTTTAGATACAGGACTTGTTTATAACTTTCCAATAGTTTTATTTCTTTAACTGGTGCTTACAAAGTACCTATTTTCCCCACATTACACAAAGCATATATATTTAGATACTAATATCATGAGACTAGGGTGAATTTGCTTCCTCTGTGAGCACAAAAGGAGAAAGTTTATATAGCTGAGTTTAAGTTGGTTGCCTAAGCATGTACCAAATGGATACTGGAAGGCAAATGAGCTGTGTGTTACCTTAACTGCTCATTCCTGTTTGTCTGGACTCCTCCTTGGTGTACTATACAGGCAAGAGCCCGCTGGCTGCCTCTAGTGTTAAACTGACTCCTCTGTCATTCATCCTCCTTGGCCTTCAGGTCTGAGGAACAAAGTAGCAGGACTAGGTCCCCACTAGTGCTGCCTGGGTGGGGAAAGTGTAGAGGAGTGCACTGGTCCCCCATGGGTGGTGCCTGGGAAAGGGACTGAGGACTGCGGCATGGGCTGGTCTGCCAACACAATATAATGTGTAATTTTAACATACAAGCAATATGCAGTATTTCAATCATGCATCATCTTACTAGTTTTCACTTTTAAATCAAAAGCTTTAGAGTAAATGACAATTGTTTAGGAAGTCCGGCTATTAAAAAAAAAACAAAACAAACAAAAAAAAAAAAAACAGAACCATAGGAGCTGGGTGTGGTGGTGCACACCTGTAATCCTAGCACTCCGAAGGCTGAGGCAGGAGGATTGCTGTGAGTTAGAAGCCAAAAAGTGAGTACAAAGCCAGCCTGAACTGCATAGTGAAACCCTGACTAAAATAAAATAAAATGAAAAACATACTGAAATAAATTTAAAAACCAGTAAATTCATACATTTCAATTTTACATATGGAAATCTTAAGCAAAAGATTCTTTACATAAAACATAATAACAATAAAAGTGATGTGCTTTTTTTGAGATGCACTTTAATGTACAAAAACTTTAATAATTTATTGAATTATAAGAGGGATTTTTAAAATACAGAACTAAAAATGATGCAATTTAGGGAGGGTCTAGATGCTAACTTTTACTAATACCACCCTTCAAAACAAACTTACCTGTAACTTTAAATTTTTCATGTAAATGACAGTGTAAAACAGTTTTCTAAAGGAAACCTATCTTTCATGTTGAAGACATCTACAGCCAGCAAGCTAATGTCAAGTCCCTAAAGAGGATGCCTAAGTGCAGTGCTGCATGCAGTAATCCTGGTCCTTTCTCGAAACAGCGAAGTAAAAAGTACCTGAAGACAACAGGGCACCCTTAGCTCTTTTATTTATTTATTTATTTATTTATTTATTTATTTATTTATTTACTTGTACCAGGGATTGAATTCAGGACCTTGTGCTTGCCAGGCAAGCACTTAAGCCACTGAACTATCTCCCCAGCCCATTTTGTGTTTCGTTTTATTTATTTTCACTCTTAGCTTTCAGCTCACCAGCTTCACCTACAGTCATGAAGATCTGAACTAAGGCAGAGACAACGAAGACAATATGTTATCCTTCCCTTTCCAATGACTGTTAGGCTGTAGGAAACCAAGGCCATAAAGCATATTATTTTGTATAGCTAACAAGATAAACAAAGTTTCTCATCACTTTCAGGAAAAAGATTTTGCAGTCTTGAATTTACATACATGAGTTTTTAAAATTCAGTAACAAAATGTAGCTCTCTTGCAACCTCTTGTAGTCCTTTAGAATA